TGAGTAGAGTTCTGGAATACGACCCTTAGATATTCAACTCGATGAGAGCATTCAAACACCTTTACCACACGTGTAAGACGCATTATGTATATTTTCACTTCGGTTCCGGAAAACGAATGGTGTACCTTGCGCTTTGGCAATTGCTTTTGACGTATTACGTTCCAATGCGGGGAGGAGCTGCAAGGACGAGTTTTCTGTGTTTAAGCGTGAATCACACAGAGAGCGAGTGCGGGTCCGCGCCCGTGCTCGGTGTGTTGTCGTCTATACAAATACATGGAATTAGACCCGCGACGATTCCGACCCGATCCCCACCCGACCCGCACCCGGCTCGCACCCGACCTGCACCCGACTCGCGCCCGACTCGCATCCGTTGTACTCAAAGTCATGTACCATAAGCACTTTATAGTTCTGATACTGGTACATGATACATATGTATCCGATTAATGATTTGTAGGAATTAGCTAAGACCACTATACACAATACACAATTTGTGGAATAAGGCCAAATCTGAAAAATAATAGCTTTTCAAGAGAAAGGTTTAAAGAATCTACGAACAAAATTAGTTGATAATTATTTTATCACTAAATAAGAGCATTATAAAATTTCACATATTATTCTTATCGCATTATTTTTATGACTTCGATATAATAACTTTGTTATACAAAAATATTCAACCTCAAAAGTTCGTGGAATGAAATACAATCTATTTGCCAAGTTTTATTGTAGATATCGGTTACCGGAGAATGCGCGAAACCGGACTCATCCTCAAATTTGCCACCTAAAGGTGGAATATTTTCTTTAACCAATGCCAAGGTTCTCTCATTTCATTCATTCATTCATTCTCTTTCCAACAAAAAAAGAATCATCAAAATCGGTTCACAACGGAGTAACCCCGTAACATACACAAAAAAAGTAAAGTCAAATTAAGATCCGCCTCCTCTTTTCTTGAAGTCGATTAATAAAGCACTTTTGCCATATGATCACATGTGGTTTTATTATACTGTCACTAAACGAAAAATGGAATTTCGAAAAATTAGTTTAAATATAAAAAACGCGAGATTTTTCGTTCAGTGTGTCCGGGCTTCATAAGGTTTTGGGGTGGCTTTATTACGTACTTCGCACCATCATTTGGACAGTTTTCTGGATGTACATCGTCTCAATAAACATAATGTCAACCCTTAACTGTAAACATAGATTGTTCACTAACCCACCGACCGAACCTTATCTTCGAATTTATATTTCATTGCACACAAACATATACACACAGAATTTTACATTTACATTCCACTTACATTCTTGCAAGTTTTACATTTTTAAGTTAACATTTATTTACATCTTATTGTTATTATAGTATATTGTGTCGACAACGAATAAAAATTGTATCTGTTTTATGTACCACCAAACTGTTATTTCCGTGAATAAATATACCCTTAGTCCAGATTAACAGTGTATTATCTTAAAACACAGATTTTTCTGGAGAGCAATTTTAAAGTTTCTTCTAGCATTATTCCTGCCGCTATTATTATTTGGTTCTCCTCATCTATATGAGCTTAAAGCCTACTAATTTAACAGTATTTTCGAATACTTCTTATTCTTATTTAGTTCCGTAGTTTTGACAAAATCCTGAAAGTATTCAGATACGTCTATAAGTAATGTTACCCTTTTGAACATAAAATATTTGTGATACAGAGTTTTAACTAAACTATTCATATGCTTAATACTTTTAAATGAAAGAGGAAGTAATATTCAATTCGATAAAACTTTGAGGAACATAGTAATATCTAAAAAAATTTGTGTATACTATAGATTACCATAACAATTCAATGAAAAAATTATGCCAAATAAGGTATTACCTTCTTCTACCTGGTCTTCGTTTTAGAGATAAATATATTTAAAAGTATTTACTCACCTTAAAATGAACACATGCTATGTCTTAGTTTTAATACCCTGTTCAACGAACGACGACGTCTTGACGACTACAGCTTCGTATGTAATACTGAATACGACTAACATAGTCGAGTCGCTCAATGTTTGAGGCCAATACGTGCAGAAAGTTCAGACATACTTCCCTGCCTCCCGAGCCATTTCACGTCCGATCGTCATATGATCTTGTTCATTAGAAAGATCTCGATTTTTTTTAATACGACTGCATTTTTATGTAAAAGGTCCAAATTTTTGAGTTGATACCCTGTTTATCCAAGGCAACGATATCTTAGTAGCAGAGAGCTCCTTGGAAAAGAATTCGACCAGAAAGGTGTGCCCCACCTTACTTATTTCACCCGCCAAGCAGTAATGTCAGCATAGCTGCGTTCCGGTTTAGAAGGGTAATGGTGCTGGTGAAATTACAGGCACATGGGACTTGTCAACTTATTATCCTGTAAATTACAAACACTATACAGTGTTTACCTGTACCTGTACCTGTGTTTAATATCACAAAAACAACATGGCCAATATGCAATGAAGTTAGACGCATATCGCTGGGTTATACCAATAAAACAATTACAAATATACTTTTTGAGATATGAGGGTGGTCCAATTTAGTTGCTGGTCCAATACTTTCCCCTACTTACAAGACGGTTTAAATTTCAAAGTGCCCAGCGTGCTATTTAGTCTACAAATCTCCTTATGTTACCAATTTCGACTACCCTACTGTATTCCTACGCCAGAACTAAACCGATATGAAATCTCATACGTATTCCAGGGACAAGACTGTGTGGAATTTCGTTTTGAAGCCAAAGAGTTTCCAATATATTATTTAATACCGGCAATATTCCAGGAAATACATTCTATTCAATTCGATATACGTACCTTACATACTGTACACACGTAAATATACTTTTAAATAGAAAACCACCATGAGACTAATGGCGGACTTGCCCTCAGGCCCAGTAGGCCCGAGCCTAGGGCGGCCAGATTTTCAGGACAAAAAAATCACTGATGATGACAAGAAATAACTCAAAGTACCTAAACATTGTAAAGGCTCACGCATATTATGGCGGGGCCGCACTGCACCGCATCGTATAGCAATAATCTTCCTAAAGCACTTTCGTGCATTTTATGTATAAAATATAGATATGTTACATATCTAATATAATGTATAATCACTACATCACTACGTCTGTCTGTTTGATCGCGATAAATTCAATAACTTCTAAACGGATATTGGCACTGACTACGTGGCCTGGGGCCTAGGGCATCCAAGACTGCAAATCCGCCACTGCGTGAGACTCAGACGTACTCACTAAACTAACGGATAACTCACGAATTTTAGTTGAATTTTTTTGTTTCATTCGTCGAGTCACAACCGCGGAATCTTATGATTAAGTACCTTGAACTGGTTCGAAACATGTCAAGCTAAAATTCGACTTAAATACGTGAGTTATCCTTTATAGTTAATACACGTAAATAGTGCTGGCCAGCCCCAATATTACTATATCGTCCTAACTATGATAGCTGGCAGGTTAGCTTCCCCCATATACAGCATGGTTTTGATAAGCATGCCCGCAATCGATTTAGATGTCAATAAAAATCGGTTTTCACTACTCAAAGTTTAATGAGAGAAAAACGCCTTGAATTAGAGAATAGCAAAATCAACCATTAAAATAATTGCTCCGTAAGTAAAATTTATTTTATTAAATTTACAATACAATACAAATATTATTTATTGCACACCGGGACAAATACATAATAATAAAAAATAAAGAAGACAGGTACAACTGGCGGCCTGTTTGCTATATAGCAATTACTTCCAGGCAACTTTCGGTTTACAGAAAAAACTGTAAGATAGTAATTAATTGAGAGTGCAACAGAATACGTAGTTAATACACATATTGCATTCACAATTTAAAAAAAGAATAATAATAAAAATAGTCTGAAACAGATATCCAAAATAATATTATGAAATACATATAATTACTTAAATTGAAAGAAGGATTATATAAAAATACTATCCAAATTTCGGAATGGAAACCTACATGTACCTGTAATTTTACCAGAACACCAACCTTCACGCCCGGAACGCAGTAATTGTTATATTACTGCTTGGCAGCAGAAATGTGTATGGTGGCAGTACTGCCCGGGATTTAGACCTAAAAGTTAAAAAGATCCTGATACTAAAAATAAACGTAATCGTATAATCTTTTTCCGTTTCTTCCTACAACACTAAAATGTCAAAAATTTCCAAATTTTAAAGGCTTAAGGGATTTTAAATTATAATCTTACAGTGCCCCATTACTTTCCATACGACTAGCAACGCAATATCTTTTCACAGGCCAATAAAGCCTTTGAGAAAAGTACAAAGTTTCGCGCTTTAATAAAAGTTGAACAAGTTGGAACAAAACAAGTTTTTCCGATATATAACGTAAACGAAATGTTTTACATGGAACTACCAATGTGTACGGGTCCAGAGAGAGCTTTCGAATATAGCTAGTGGTACAAGGGAACAGAGACTAAATAATTTGTAACCACAGTTTTAGAAACCATACAGTTGCGCAACGAATGTATTCGCCGTCACAGCCGGCCGCATCCTGCAAACACGTTTAATTTGCCGGATTGAGCGCTAAGGGTTAACGTGTGTGTCTTAGAATATTTTTGCATACGCAAATTTTTTTGTAATTTTGCATATTATGTAATGGCGCCTCGGTGGAGATTAGGTTTAACTACCTCCGTGGACGAACGGTTAACATGCTGGTCTGCCACAAATATATGCATGGCCTACATTTATTTCACTCGTGAGTTGGGATGTAATTTGTGATTGTTTATGTGTGTGTTCATGGCAACCACGACACAGGGTTTTCCTGGTGCGGGGGTATGAATACGTGGAAAAAATTAAATCAAAATACAACAAGGATTTCAAACTAACTAACAATCTAAAATTTATTAAACTGTTCATCCATATAAGAATACACTGAACAGTTAAATGTAATTATGGAAAAATGAAGGCGTAGTGTCTATAGTACCATTGATTTGTACCATCAATGGTACAAATGACACTACTATGTGTCCTTAGTACCATCAATGGTACTACCGATACTAGCACGTGTCGCTAGTACCATTGCATCGAAATCATACAAAAAATATATACATATAATAGGGGTTTAATAGTAAATAAATAATTCCAACAATTCATTGAGGAAAAAACCTTCTTGGCTGTTTCCGCTACGTTTAAGTGCTAGATTAAATCCTGGCCACTTCAAAGATTACAATCTTCTTTTAAATAACTCATTGGAAAGCATCTTGTCTTTTGCCGTAAACAAATGATTACATTGACATTATAAGTAAATGTATTAATTGTGGGATGGATTGTGTTTTTAATTAAAAAAAACGTATTCAATTCTAAACCTAAGGGATAAAATGGATATTAGTAATGAAAAACCAAATGTGAGCAGTGACCAAAATGATATAAAAATAGTCGCTCGTGGACGCGGCAAAGTGTTACTCTACAACGGCCACCAATATTATTTCCACGTGCGGTATAAAAACAACAATTGTTTGTGGAGATGTAAAAATTACAAAACCTTTAACTGTACTGGATCCGTTACGATTACCCAGGTAAAGTTTTTAAAAAAAAAGTTAATTAGCTTTTTTTATTTTTGCTTAGGGTCAATTCATGTTTAAGCTAATTTCGACCTTATTGGCATTTTGTAACTATAATGATTTTTCACACTTCTTTGATTAGTTCATTTTTGTATTAATTAGGCTGGTTGTTTCTGTGTACATTGTTTAGTGTAGTAGCCATTGTACATTGAAGTTTGCGTTGTGTGTGACATGTCCATCCGATAGGTATTTGTATATTTTTATTTTATTTTTAATTTTTACATTAAAAAAATACAAATTAATTGTAGCCGTACAAAAGTTCAAAAATTTAGTATCAATTTCTGTTTACTCCAGGATCAGTCAAAGTTGGTACAACAAAGGCAGCATTCAGAGAACTGTTTACCAGACGAAAATGAAAACATTATGTGTATTATCACAAGCTCAAGCTTAGACAGAGCAGCATCAAATGTCGAAGAGACAGTACCTGCGGTTTACAGAACTACCATAGCATCAATGAAAGATACAGGACTACACTTGATTAAGAAATTACCCACGTATAACAAATACAAATGCAAAGCATACAGAAGAAGAAGGAAATTGGCAGGAGTTGAGAAGATGGCATACAATGACATGAAAGAAGTTGAAGTGCCTCCAGATGACTTCCTTCTTGCTGATTACCGTGATGGCAACGATCGTATCCTGATTTTTGCTCTAAAAGAAGCGAGGGAAATTGTGCTTAACGGAAAAGTGTTCTTATGTGACGGGACCTTCAAGAATTGCTTGAAACCGTTCTGTCAGCATTATGTACTTTTTTGTGATATAGGCAGCACAGCAAATGAAAATAATGTGATTCCTGTAATATACGCACTCCTACCGAATAAGAAACAGAAGACTTATTTAATTATGTTTGAACTAATCAAGTCACAGATACGGATGTCTACAAACGAAAAAAACTGGGAATGGGAACCCCATAAATTTATAACAGATTTCGAACAAGCGGCAATAAATGCCATTGAACGTGCATTTCCCCAGGTGTTACATCACGGTTGCTACTTCCATTTCCTGGATAAAATTAAAAGGAAAGCTACGCAACTTAAAATCCTACATAAATTTAAAAAAAATAGTAACAAAAACTTAAATAAAATAGTGAGCTTGTGCATGGTTCTCCCTCTTTTGCCAGAGTCCAAAATAGAAGAAGGTCTGAATTATATAATTGCAGAGAGTGTAATTATTGGTACTACAAAAGAAGTTAATGATTTGTTAAAGTATATAACACATTTTTGGATGCCGAAAAAAGCACAGTGGTGCAGTTTTGGCGAGAGACATCGAACAACGAATTGTTGCGAAGCATGGAACGGTCAATTTAACAAGCGTTTTATGAGAAAACCTACCACAACATGCCAATTTCTAAAAGTTCTAAAAACAGATGCTGCATACCATTCCGTAAATGCTTTGACAACAGAGCCACAAAACTTAAGATCAAAAGCGGTGATCGACCGCAACAATTACATTCAACACGTGCAAATGCAATTAATTCAAGGCGACATTACAGTCGCATTGTTTTTAGAAAAATTGCGTGGTTAGAAAATGTGAGTTTTATTTTCACAAGTAAATACACGGTATAAACAAGTATAATTTTCAATGGTACTAAGGACACATAGTAGTATCATTTGTACCATTGATGGTACAAATCAATGGTACTATAGACACTAAGGCAAATTGAAAACGTGTAGAAATACAGTGTCACGTAAATATTTGGCAGTACAGCACTTGTAAATCTTTATTACTAAACAAGTAACACTTAATTGGTAAATTATTACGTATTGATAAGTAATATGACACATGAAAAAAGAAACATGTCATGGTTTAGTCTATCGAAGTGCATGTGAGTGAATGTATTCAATATTTGTATGCCTACAGTTTGGCCGGACACAGTGAAACTATACGTATTTTGTACATGTCAGCTTCTATATAACCTGTTTCCACAAATAAATGAATTATTATTATTTTTATTATTATTATAATGAAATATGTCCATAAGTAGATGGGTGGATCTGTATTTCACTGTTCTAGTCACGGGCTTATTACCCAAATTGCATCGCTTAAATGCCCACTAAAGAGCTTAAAATACACGTACGCTTGGTTGCAGGGACGGCTGATCAAAGAGTGAATATTTCTTAGGAATGTAAGTGACTGAATAATAAACAATAGTTATTGTTAATAAATGATTACGTTATAAAAATAATCACTTTTTTCCATTTTTTGGCAACCCTTGAATATCTGCATACCTACGGATAGTGCAAGGTCCTACATGGGTGGCGGTCTCACCGAACATTAAAAGCGTTGCGCTGCTGTAGACAAGATATTGTACTACAGTAATACTACTTATTATTAAATTAAACCTAATTGCGATTGAAATGAAACACAATATCAAGGTGACCATCCAAACGTCATGACCCGACATCCACACCAGGATTGTTGCTGATGCAGGTTTTTACCCATCAGTGGATGCTGATGCGGGTGCCAATTTAATATATTTAAAAAAACGCGAAAATACATCCTTACTGAACCGATCTACATGAAAAAGCTTTTTAAATTCTTTAGTTCTGTAATAAAGCATTATTTCAATGTTTTTGTGACATTTATAACAAAAGAATCAATCTTCATGAAAACAATCGGATTTTTAGCGTCTGAACTCGGGGTCGGTTTAAAGCTGCAACGGAACCCGAATGAGCCTAAATGCGAGTATCGTGTGATCCCGGGACCGGTTGCTTGTCAAAAATAATTAAATTTGATTCGCATCCTGTCCCCAGTTCAGTTGCACCTCGAGACATGACATTAAATTTGTATCATCTGAACCCGAATTCATTTTCGATAGATATTTCAATCGGTCTAGTTTAATCTTTGTGGAATTTTATTAAAGTTGTTCTAAAAACAACAGAAGAGCTGCTTTTTCGCCCTATAGTCTGTTTCTGGAAGGTTTGTAAATTATTCCAGCGTGTCTTTAAGGTCATGTCACGACTCGAACATCCGCAATGAATATCAACATCAATAAATACGGATGGTGGTGCTGATGCTATTCGCAACAACCGTGGTCCACACACGTCCGTTACCAATTGCTTACTAAATCTGATTGCCAATCCAATCTCGTGTCCAATCTGAGCGGTCCGCCATCGCGCTTACAATACAAGTCCATATATCTGATTAGGTCTGTAGACGTGCAGATTTGAATGCTTTTCTCAATAATGACGATTGAGAGACAATTTAGTGTATATCTAAAATATAGACTAAATCAAAAATATTTCAATGTACGCATGTACGTTAATATGATGCTTAAATTTGCAATAGTGTTAACGTGTTTTCCAAGTTTTGAAACTGTGCTTTTAGAGTGCATAGTCAAATCGCACTTGATTGAATTTTTATTTAAATAAAGTCTCTTCAGACTAACGTTCTTACAGTTTCAAAGGGTTGAAAACCAACCAAAGCTCATATAAACTAGAAAGAATGAAAATATATTTATTTAATTACCACACTGACACTACAAAAGAGAAAAACCAAAACTAAATAAATAAATTAAAAAACAAAATCACAAAATGACAATAAAAATAAAACGGAAACTATTCACAATAAACAAGGACACTTGGTATAAAGATACTTTCTGTAGTGTCAACTGCAGTAACAATATTGTCACAACTCAATATTTGCTGAAAAACGCAATTCGTTCCTGGGATTGCTTTTCAGTAAGGACCTTAAACGAGGTCACGAAACGACATGCTCAAGCATACGTACTTAAATATGACAATAGAATAATTAAAATATTAATATTGTTCCCATACCCCATCATGCACGAAGAAAATTCGCGTCATAGTATAAAAAGAGCAAGTAGGTCAAGTCTCGTTGTTCAAGGGCGTAAATGCCTATTTTAGCTATACCTACAGTTTATCACAGTATTTTTTTATTTCTTGATAATGGAGTATGATTATGAAATAGAACTTAAACGCTGAACAATTCTGAATTTATAGCACTCTTGTTCAAACTACCACAAACAATAAACACGTCTACTATTTGATGTCATTTTTGAACACCGAATGACTGCTTCAATTAATGGCGTGCTATTTTATGCGAATGTGTGCGTGCGCGATGGACGTGCACACTTACATACAAGCTGAATTGTTTTAGAGTTACCATACTTTTTTCTAAATGCGTACGGCACCTATGTTTTCCGAAAATTATAAATTAGGGCTCTTCTACATAGGGTGAATAGGCATTCTTAAACAAACATATCATCGTCAGTCACATTGTCTCTAAGTATCAGGTGCGAGGAAATTGCGACCAGACGCGCGGCTGTTTTTTTCATAAAGTGAAAAAAGGTACCGTAAAAGACAATTCTCTAAATATAATCAAAGATAAACTTACTCGCTGGGCTATTGTAAGTTATACCGACCACTAATGCAGAAGGAGTTTAGCGGATAATGGAGGAATGAAAGTTTTTGGAATGTCTGTGAACTATCTCGATGGAGCCTACGAACGCCTTCACAAAAAAGTGAAAATCATCTCAAAGAAACACTTTGAAATTAGGTTCATGTATTTCTGGGTCAGAACGCTTTTAGTATGAAGTAGGATTTTGTGGAATAATGTCAGATAGGATGAAAGGGGAAAACGAACTAAAATCTTATACGAGCTTACCTGCACTACTCAAGAAAAGGTAAAAAGCAACAATCTAACAGGAGTCGATTTATTCCCGTGACTGTCCGGATAAAAAAGAAACAGATTATCCTAAGAACATTCCTATGTACTAATTAAAATAACAATAACGTGCTAATGACGTATAAATCAAGGTCGCAATTGTAGTGTTAACATTGTAAAATTACACCAAATGCAAAATCTGAAATAAAAAAACATTACTTTCTGATGATGTTGAGGCAGCATTAACTCACGTAATAATACAAATATATTTTGAAGACAGCGATAGTCCCCAGCCACCTTGTTAGCACACATCCAATCAGGCAACTAATTGAAAGAAGAAGAAGCGGCCTTTGAATCTAAATCACTCCCAAAATGAACAACAACGGCGCTATTTTTTCCCGAAAATTAAGTAATTATGGTAGTACAGTCAGATAATATCACGGAAGAAAAAAAAACAATAGAAATGCCTTAATCCTCGATTACTATCAGAACCGAAACTCATATATTCTTAATTCAAAACACTACAAAATCTTAACATTTATTGGTCGTAGTTTCAAATTTAAAAAGAATTAACAAATTCTGGATTGTTAAAATAATTTAAACTTTACCCTGTTGGCATATCGTTGAAAGTTTAATACCATCAATACCTATTACAAATTACGACGTTTTAATATTATATTGAAATTTCAACCAATGTGCTGCCACCTAGCGGTTCATTGCTGAACGACGACGTATTGGAGTTATTAGTTTAGTTCTCCAAACAAGAAGCGACCATATTGCAAGGGTATAAGATTTACTTTCGTTTCTTGTAACAAAAAAATATTTCGATAAACAGAATTTTTTTTTTATAAGACTTTCGGATGATATGAAATACCACCGCTATAATATTTTTGGTATTTTTTTTATACTAAAACAATTTTTGCTTGCCAAAACAGCATAATAAGGCACTTTTCTAGGATTTTAGAGAATTTGCACGAAAGAATGGCACAACCATACCACACAAAGCGAAAATGGCGGACTGAGTTCATATAGATCTTTCGAGACCTTATAGTTGACACGCGTCAGACGCTAGCTATCCACTTCTACTGTATTTATTGTTCTGTGGATAATATGTTGCGTCAACGCGATTCGCGATCCATTTAGTACATATTGTAAATAAACTGAGTCTTGGGCGGTCAGAAGTACCACTCATGCTGGCTGTAAGGAATCAGAAACACACAAACGCCAGAGTAGACCCAAACGACACTACAGATGGAATGTTAATTACTCCAGCAAGAAAATTATGATGGTAATCCTCGAGAACAAAATAATTAAAGAGTTTTACCCATGGCACCAGCTAGGCCGAAGATTTTCAAACGGTACGTTGATAATACTTTCACAATATTACCTAAAAAGATAGCATACCTTCTTTCTTGGACCATCTTAATTCTTTTAGTACTGTGACGGTGTGACCTCCTTACACCGTCATCTCACCTTTTTGTATCGTATAATTTTTTCTTTTGCTTGTATCTAAATTTTAAATTTGAATTGTTCCATCTTCCTTCGCTTTCTCATTTTTGCTTCGTACCACGGTCAGTCTCTTCTTGACCGCGATAGCGGACAGAACTACTAAATCAAAGTGTCTAATTTTTCATTCTTTTCAAGTTTAATCATAATACAATCAATGTAAATCATGTAACGACCATAATGAGCGAATAACATCTATCTAATGTCTGTAATTCAACATAATAAAACCCGATAAGGGTTTTTTTTACTTTACCTTTTACTTCACGTTAAATAAATTTGTGGACCGGAAGTTTTCTGTTTTACTGCCGTGATCCTAAGATCCAATTTACTATGGAACAAGAGAATAGTGGTACTTTAGCTTTCTTAGATATTTTAATTAAAACAAATCTTAATAACACCTTAGGCTATACTATATTTCGAAAGAAACCCCACAGATAGGGACCTCAATGGTAATTCCCATCACCATCCTAACCAGTTAGCTACCGTGGGCAAATCTTTGTTTCAGAGAGCACATGGTGTCTGTGATAGTAATCATCTGGCGTGGGAACTTCAGCATAAAGCAAGTCCTACATGCGAATAGATTCCACGCCAACGCCGCAGGCCCCGTGTGAAACCGCCAACAGTCGAGCGAAGACCTGCCATTTTACCTTCCGTGGTAGGTGTTACACACAAGATCGGAAGAGTCCTCAGGCTTACATTTGTCAACACCTATTTCAAGCCCCTGAGGAAGATTTCTCAGTTCCTGAGACCCGTGAAATGTAACATCCCCTTACAGGATGCAGGAGTTTATAAGCTTGACCGTGATTGTGGTCTCTCGTATATTGGACAAACGAAGCGAAGTATTTGTACCCGCGTCAAAGAACTTATAGCTGATGTCAAACACTGTCGCGTAAACAAGACTGCAGTCTGCGAGCATGTCATGGATAAACCTACACATTCCATGAAGTTTAACAAACCCCAGGTCCTTGCAAAAGAAGT